AGGCGGGGCCGGTTCTTAGCTAGTCAGTCACAGGGCTTTTCCTTAAAGTCCAAGTCAATCAATACAGCAGCCCAGCCAGGGCACGCCAACCCTTTGCTCTATCACGTAATCGACAGCCACTGCGGGCTTAAAACTTCCTCTGTGTCTGGCAGTGGTGGGCCATAAATTAGAATGTTCCAGAAGAACAAACTTTCACTTGTAGCACATATATGGGTGTCACGACTTGAAAGAACTGAAGCACTTAGCCTGGAGAAGGGTCAGGGGAGACCTGCCACCCTCAGTGACGGCCTGGAAAGTGGCCATTTAAAGGGGCCAGGGGCATGTTTCCCGAGGAAGCGAAGACTAAGGGTCTGAATTCTTCGTGACTGAAATGGTTTCTAAGTCAGAGGACAGAAACTGGCTGTGCTCCACCAGGGGTAGAAGGAGGACATGTGTCTGAATGGTGGCAGGAGAACGTAAAGCTGAATTTAAGAAGTTCCTGACAGTTGGGGTTGTGACCCAGAAGCTGCTTCTCTGGAGAATGTGGAGCAAAGGCTGGACAGCTGTTGGGGATGTTTCAGCATGGTTCCTGCGGGCAGCAGGGCGGGCCCGAGCCGAACGGTCTCTTGAGCTCCCACTGTCATTCCAGACCACGTGCTATTCTAGATTGTTAGATTGTTTGGGACGTACGCAGACTGACGTGAAGGAGCTTGCATGACCACGTGCCATTCTAGAGTGTTAGATTGTTTGATGTACACGGACTGACAGGAACGATGTGTGGTCAACTGTGCATGGCGCGCAGCGTGGGGCTGGCTCGTTTTTGGGGTGAGGACGACTTTCTTCAGAGAACATCCCTATTGTCCTCAGGCCAAACCGTTCTTCCTGAGTCTCAGATTGGTCTTCCCAGGTTCTTGGTGCTCTTTTGACCCATTTTCTTCCTAAAACACAGTCAGGCAAGCCCAGGCGGTGTGCGCAGGTCCCGTGCCCGTGATAGAGACCAGAGCCTCTACTGAGCTTCCACTGGGCCCTGTCACTGTGCAGAGCACTTCATGTGCCCGTCCTGTCTCCTCCCCTCACAGCGGTCTGCAGGAGTGCTGCTGTCATGCCCATTTCACAGACAGGAAGACTGAGGCTTTGAAAGACCACAGAACGTTAGGCCAGGACCCCAGCCCCGATGAGAGGCCCGGCTCTGGCCGTTCACTCAGTCTGATCAGGGCATACATCCATTTCCACCCCCCTCTGGTAGTGGTCTGGGACACGTTCCTTCAACTCTCGAGGCTCAGTTTCCGTTTCCATGAGAAAACGATCCTGATTTCATGGGGGAGATTCCATCAGATGGGCAGAGAACACCTCCAGCGCAGTCTCTGGCACACAATAGGCACTCAGCCGACATCACTTCTCTTGCCTGGCTTCCCCTGGTCTGAGCCGTTCTCTCATGATGTCCTGGTTCTAATCAGGCCTCTCAGTGACAGGCAGGGACGTTCTGCGGCTCAGCGTCCCTCTGAATGATGTCTACTGCTAATTCCTTAAATTTACATATCGTCTTTCTTCCCTCGAGCTCCTAGCACTTAACAGACAAGTGGGGCACAAATGATTTAACTGAGAGAAATTCCAAGGCCTGCTTGTCTGGAGATTCTGCGAACTAGTGGATTAGCTCAGATGTCAGCACTGAATTATGCTCCTTCAGCTGCTCGTGCTTAGCACGCCACCAGCATTAACTCCCTGGTCTTCCAGGGGTCCTCTAAATCATGCATAGTGATTATCATCTTACTGGGAGAGAGGGGAGAGGAGAGGGGAGGAGGTGAGAGGAGAGGGCCAGCTCGGTCCCTGGGAGGGTGGGCTGTGAAACCTTGGCCTCCTTGTGCCTGAAGCTGCTGCCCCAGGATGAGTAAACGGCACAGACCAGATCCAGCCCAGCCAGCCCGGCTCTTTACACCTCCACACACATTTTACTTACCAAATCCTAACCATCATGTATGGTTCCCCTGCCACTTAAGAATGTAAATTCAGGGGCCGGCCCGGTGGCGCAGCAGTTAAGTGCGGACTTTCCACTTCTTGGCGGCCCAGGGTTCGCCTGTTCAGATCCCGGGTGCAGACATGGCACCGCTTGGCAAAAGCCATGCTGTGGTGGGTGTCCCACATGTAAAGTAGAGGAAGATGGGCACGGATGTTAGCTCAGAGCCAGTCTCCCTCAGCAAAAAGAGGAAGATTGGCAGTAGTTAGCTCAGGACTAATCTTCCTCAAAAAAAAAAAACATGTAAATTCATATAAGTGACAGTATTTCTGCCAAGCAATTTTCAGGCAGCAAGTGGGTCTTATTTGTGAAAGTGTGAAGGAAGAAGCCTGAATAATAAGTCTCTGAAATCTGGTTTCCTCTATACCTGAGGTGGAAACAGTAAGGGCTTGGGAATTCCTGGAGCTTGAGCATTTGGGGGTGCGGTGGGCTGGGTGCTCGCCCAGATTATCAGTGCACCTCACCTTTACAAAAGGCTGTTGGCTCGGGGGGTGGGGGGGCGATGGTGACGAGATGGTGTGAGTCTGAGGGATTTCCAGCAGCTGGCTGACCCGTCCTCTGTTCTTGTTTCCAACACATAGCCTCACATAATTCTTCGTTCGTGAGTTTGTCCTTCATTCGTGAGAACAAAATTTTTGGGAGTAGCTGCATATACATGTCACTATCTAGGGGCAGGAGAAGGAGCCTTTATATACACACACTTATCTGTGTAAGACCAGGACCTTATGGTCTAACGGGGGTGGGAAGAAAGACACACACAAAGCAGTTAAATTGTAGTGCAAGGCAGCAGGTGGGTACCTACTGAAATGCATGAAAAATGGCCTCAAGTCTTTTTAAAACAAGGTAAAACCAGTGGTACAGTCAGTAAATTCTCGAGCTGTTGAGAGAAGAGAGGAATTAATGTTGAAATGTGCCAGAATGTTTAGGAGAAGAACCAGCAGAAGAGGGGAGAGGTGGCTGGGGCGGGGCGGGGGGGGGGGGGGGGGGGAGGGTGGGCGGAGCACAGGTTGGGGGGAGCACAGGTGAGGGGGGAGGGAGCAGGCCCGTGGGAACCAGTCTGCCTGGACAGATGTGATTGATTGCCCAGACTTGGGGCAAGGCCACTGGCCGCAGCTGACATGGAGACCTGCTGTACAGGGTGGGGCAACCGAGTCAGGCCCAGCTCTGCTGCTTACTAGCCTCTCTACCTTGGACGAGTCACAGAACCTTTCTGAGCCTCAGTTTCTTCATCCTGTGCAAAGCAAGATTAATAAGACCTAGCTCACAAGCACACAGCAGGGATTAAATGAAATGATGCATGTGAGGGTGCTCTGTAGCCTGTAAAGCCTTATGCAAATCTCACTTAGAATTCCCATCAACAGCGGTGGTAAGGAGATCTGGTGGGCGAAGCACAGTTTAGATCATCTCTGAGTGGTTGTGGCACCAGTGTCTCCTCCCTCAGCAGATCACCATCTTTAAAATCCTCTGCCACAGCTACAGCTGCCTAGTAATCTGTGCTGGCCTTGGCCTTGAAGAGGTCTCACGTTGGGGGGAATTAGATGACATGCTTGGGTGGTTAAGGAGACACAACTGGGTCCCCCCTGGATCCTAAACTGCTCATATCTGAGTTCAGGAGAAGGGAGCTTCTGGAGCAATAATCCTGGAGAATCTAACCACGAGGGATTCAGGGGAGCCGGGGAGGAAGGAGCGAGGGGGCCGAGAGGATGAGGGAAGGGGCTGTTTCTGGGCCCCTGGTGGGAGGACGGTCACAGGCTCAGCTCTCACTGGGAGGATGACATCACAGGAGTAACGACAGCGGACCAGTGGTCCCGGGAGTGCCCTGTTGATTCAGGACTCTGGAGTCCCCGCCTGTCCTTCGCTGACAAGCCCAGGATGTGCACAGTCCCTGTTGAGTAAGAAAGCTCTGAGCACACGTCTCAGATTGACATGGTCCTGAGGTGTCTGGGATGCGAATTGGGGATCTGTGGTGCAGAAGAGCCCCTGCCCTCTTGCAGCAGGTTCAGCATAAAGTGTCCCGAAGCCAAAAGGAGGCAGTGAGATTCTCTCCTCGGCTGCCACCGTGCTGCGTACAAGTGGCCAGAACACTCCTGTGGTGTTGGATTTGCAAGTGCAGGTCCCCGTGCCTGTGCCTGCGAGGCGTGGAGTCTGCCCAGGGTGAGGGGAACTCAGCCTTCCGCACAGTGTCTGATGTGTTTGAAAACTAAGCAGCCAGAGGCCCGTTCTCTGAACGTTTGGATGCATGAAACCTTGATTTCCCAACACTTGTCTGTTCTCTGCTAAACACATAGCCTTCATTAGTGACATGGTGACAGGGCCGGTTCTCACTGGAGCCATGTTTGCCTGGCTCCCTCAGGCCAGGCTCGTCAGGGAACAGGAAAGGGAGTGGGGTGTCAGGGCCCTGGATCACCCCTCCTCAGCCACCATGCCCTGTTCTGCATGAAGCTGACACTGGGCTTCTGAGCTGCAGTCACAAGAGCCCAGGCACCATCTAGCAGCAGTGGGAGAGACAGAAGGTTCTGTCTTCCATGTGGACAGTGCCAGCCAAGATGACAAGTCTTGAAGCATAAACCACCTGGCCAGACTCACCTCTGGTCTAGCAGCCACCTCACCCCCTTGTAATTCAGTTCGTTAGACTGTGTTGGCCCTTTGGGTAAGCCAGGGATGAATACGGCCTGGCCTCTTAGAGCCTAAGAGGAGAAGACAGGCAGACACAACCAGCAAGAACTAAGGCTGACCATGCTGGGTGACGCACGTAAAAGAGGGACTAAGAAAGGGATGCAGAGGAATAGGCAGGAAGGACTGACTTGATGTAAAGTCCCATGAAAGGGCTTCAAGAGGACTCAGCATGTGAATCAAGGCTCTGAAGGAGCCTTAAAGGGATGCAGGACCTGGAGAACAAAGACCCCCAAACTCTAGTCCCAGCTTTCCCCTGGGGAGGACCAGAGCTGCAAACTGGTGTCTTTCGAAAGTGTTTACCAGGATGCTCTGTTTGGGCTTGTTTCCCCAGATGACAGGAATTTCTTGCGGCTGCAGAGTGATGGCCGGCGAGAGGGCCAGTACGGGCGGCTCATCAGCCCGCCCCTGCACCTGCCACGCAGCCCAGTATGCATGGAGTTCCAATACCAAGCCACGGGCGGCCGCGGGCTGGTGCTGCAGGTGGTGCGCGAGGCCAGCCGGGAGAGCAAGCTCCTCTGGGTCATCCGCGAGGACCAGGGCGACGAGTGGAAACACGGGCGGATCATCCTGCCCAGCTACGACATGGAGTACCAGGTAGGGTGGTGGCGAGGCGGGCGGGGCTCCCAGGGAATCAGTGGGATCTGTGCTTCAGTATTTCAAAGGGCTATGCCCATTCATCATTAGGGAACATGGTTAAGCGTTGCTGTTTTCATTGTGTTTCTCACGTTGCCATGGCAACTAAATGACACTCTTATTTGTTATTCAGAATGTGCCTATCTCTATACCCAGACTTGGTTCTTTGTTCTTCCTATTGCCTTTTATATTGCTGAAATCTTCCCCAACAAATGTTTCTTCTCCCCATTTTATTTTAGATTGCTGTGAGGTAGGCTTACAAAGGAGCACAGGAGCCAGGGAAATAAACACAAACACACCCTCCACACACGGGGAAGAGGCCTGTGGGGCCCCTCACACTCCAAGGAGGAGAGGGGAACAACCTCCCAGCCCTGTCTCAGCCGGCATGCACACAGGAAGAGGGGTGCTGTCTGCGCTCAGTGGCTAGCAGACCAGAGACACTCCTAAATGGTTTCTCTCCCAACAGCTCCAGGAGCTGAGTTATATTATCTCTGCCCCACAGAGCGAGAGACTGAGGCACAGATGGGCACGCACAGCTGTGGCTGAGACTTGGGTAGGAGTAGAGGCGCTGTGGAAGAGGTGACCGAGAACCAGCCACAGCATTAACCTGCTCCTCCCTAGACGAGCAGCAGCAACACATGGCTGGTGAGGCAGCCAACTGCTCGCTCAGCTTGCCAGAGGACATGTGCTCATTTGCAGAGAGAACCGGGGAGGGCAAGAATGAGGAGTGATGGAAGACCCCAGAGCCGAGGGGCTGCGGTCACTCTCCAGGATGTCAGGTGTCCTGAGACCCTCCTCACCCCCACCTGCGTCCCACTTGTAAACCTTAGTGTGCTGTGTTGTAAGCACCTGTTTGCATTTTTGTCTCACTCGCTGGATGGTGAGACTCTGGGCGGAGGGTCTTGTCTATTAGCTGTTGTAACTGTCCTTGCGCCTGGCCGATGGCAGGTGCTCTGTAAACTACTGGTGTAGGAACAAATCCGCACCCCCCCCCCCCCCCCCCCAGTTCTAACAATGGGAGCCCCCAGGCAACATTATAACAGTGGAGCCACAGGAGGATGTAATCACCAAGGCAATGCAAACCCAGGGTACTGGATTTCTCACCTTACCCCCGCCTGCTCCCGTCCCCTGAGTTTCCAAATACCTGGATTGGGCGTTTGAAAGATTTATAAGAGAGGAACCTCAAAAATGGCTCCGGATATGTCAGCCCTCCTTTAAACACGCTCTGATTGTGATCCTTTTAATTGATACATTCTAGTTATGGACAACAGTATCCATCACATTGTTACTTATATTTTTTAATCTCCTCAAATATGCATTTGATTTGAACCAACCCTCTTTAAATTAAGATTTGAAGCAGTGTAGCCATGTGGTCAACAGATGTGTACCAGGTGCAGTAGCACACACACACACACACACGCACACACACACGTTTTAAGCTGCAGTTAACAGAAAATTGGAAATCTTTGCACTGCTTGGACCAGGAAGCTCGGTTAACCATGGCTTTTGTTCTTCTGGCTTCTAGATTGTGTTCGAGGGAGTTATAGGAAAAGGACGTTCAGGAGAAATTGCCATTGATGACATTCGGATAAGCACTGACGTCCCGCTGGAGAACTGTATGGGTACGTGACTGTCTGTCTCTTCGTGGCTCTTCCCGGTGAGACACCAAGGGCTAAGATACCCAAGAGGAGGCAGCGGGCCACTTTCACACCCGGTCTGTGCAGGGGTGAGGTGTGAGTGTAGCTGCACCTCAGGCTGCATTCCAGATGGGAGGGGTGTGAGAGGAGGTGAAGTTTCTGTGCAGCTCCCACTCAGAAATAGACATGCACTAAGTACATGGAGATTCAGGGCGCCGAGACCCCACCCTCAGACTCCAGCTTTTAGCAAAGAAAATGCTGGAGGACAAGCACGACTGCCAGTCAGAATTAGGTGCTGGGGAGGTTCGATGAACTTAATGGAGGCCTCCACTGTGAGCAAAAGCAGCACATATTTTCTGTCAGAGTGATAGCACAATCACCAAGCAGTTCTTTTAGAGGAATGAGTTGCAGGGCAAACCGTGGCACGTGAAGTAAGATTTTAGACTTTGCTTTGAAGCGAATGCCTCTAATGCCCAAGATCCCAGAGCCGTTGTAAGATTAGACATTGCATGCCAGGTGACTAGCTCAGGAAGGACACCATAAGTGCCCCTTGGACGGCAGTGCTGAGCAGCCCGGCCACCTGAGATGTACAAATCTCACCCACCACCCCAAGGCACCCTGACAGTCTCCCCTCAGAGCCATGGACATTCCCCAAAGCAAGAGGGCGTCCTGAGAAGGAATGGCACCCACGTTCAGTTGCCATGACTGTAATAACTCCCCAAGTGCTTTTCTTGGCACATGGGTCCCGGGTGTGTATGCCTGACGATGTCAGAAGCACCTGGGATTGCCCTAGTCCCCTCAAGCAACTCAGGCCCCGGGCTTCCAAAAGTAATCCCGGCTCTGAGAAAGTAATCAGTGATAAGTGACTGATTACAATGCTCCAGGGACCCATTACTCTATAAAGGACTTTTGTTCCAAAGCAACTTTGAGACTCTCTCCCCAGCCTCCCGGCCCCCACAATGATGATGTGTTAGACACGGTCAGAGCACGTGGGACACTTTCCGTGGGATATTACAAAGAACAAATTAATGGAAGTCCTCTTCATCATACCCTACATTCACCTGATTATTTCTTCCCCTTTTCTAACTCAAAATTTTTTCTCTTTTTTTCCCCCAGAACCCATCTCAGCTTTTGCAGGTGAGCATTTTAAAGGTAAAAAACAAATTTTTTTGCATGTCTTTTCCTCCCCCTCCATGTGATGTGAATTTGATGGGAGAATAAACCTCCGAATCTGACCAATCTCCCAAGAGAAAAGAGACGCCACTCCTTGCTGCCGCTAGATGGCACCAGCCACACCGTAGATTCGGGAAAGGGGCTGGAGATCCTCGCTGTCTCTTTAATCAAAGCTTAGAAACCTACAACAGAGACAAATCGGTTATAGACAAACCTCCCAGCCTTGCCTTGTCCAGCCAGGAGCGACGAGGCTGAAAATGCACCAGTGCTGAGGGAGGAGAAGCTGTGGGGAGATGAAACAAAAAAATCATCAGTGGATGAACAGTGAAATGAGGTGACAAGGATTTGTTGGACACCCGAAGGTGTCTTCTTCCTGGGTCCAGGGTCCCAAGGCAGCGGGACAGTTACCCCTCAGTGAGGTACGGTGGGGGGCAGTTTGTGAGGGGAGAAAGTTAGGGAAAAGACACGAGGAATGACCCCCCTGAGGAGGGAGCGGTGCAGAATTCAGGAGCTGGGGTCACACAGGGGGACTAGGGAGGCACGGTCAATGGCTAGAGTTAGAGCGTTTAAATACAAGACTGAAAACAGAAAGGACATTTCCTCCCTAGTAAAGTCAATAGCAGAGTGGAGAGAGAAGAATTTGGGATGCTCACCTCATCCGGGGGAAAAGGACCCCGAGCTTGGGTGATGGCGATGTCTGTGCTGTTAAAATGCAGGGTCCCATTTTGCCCTCTTTGCAGTCCATTTAGTTGACACTGCTAGGTTTCCACCAGGTCCCCAGGCTAAGTGTCTGAAGCCATTCTAAATGCTTCTGTTCAGGTGACCTGGGTGTGAGAGCCCCTCAGATACATGCACCCTTACCTGTGACGTAACCTATTGTATGCAAACACTTGTGAGGTTGTACTGGTTGGCCTTACCCTTCTGGTGACAGCATTTCAGAGATCGGGGAAGTCATTTTTGTATCCAAAGTCCAGACTCATTATTTTCACTCTCATTAGTCTGTCCAGCTCCTGGCTAGAAAGAGATGGATTCCTGGTCTGCCACCTAGATGTGCCCTCTGACTCCAAATCATGTCACCTAACTTGCCGCTCATCACCCACAGCTCTGAGACAGTAGAGGAGGCAGAGGAGCAGAATAGAGAAGGACACAGAAAGTCTTTTCTTTCTTTCGCGCCCTTCCCCGCCTCCCTGAACTCCATCCCGCTCCCCAGTGCACATCTTAAAGTATTAAGTGTATTCGTGTGCCTATGTTGGTGCTTTGGGGCGTGAGGTTTATATTGGTGTGAATCTAAAGTATTGGCGGGAAAACTGAGATCAAAGCTAGGACTTGGGTTGCAGTTGAGCTCGCGTTCTAACCTTCGGACCCGAGGTAACGTTTCCGTAGGGGGAGGGAAACCAGCTTGTTGTTCCACCTGATTCTCAGCGGTTGTCTGGACGCAGAGTTCCCAAGAAAGGCTGGACAGAGACATCCAGGGTGAGCACACTGTGCGAGCATGCACATGTAGGTCCCTCACTGATGCGGTGGGTGGCTGAGCACTTTGCTTCCGGAAGAGAAGGAAAAACCAGGGCTGTGTGCTCTCCCTGAGGCGGTGTCTACTGTGAGGCTGCACAGTCCCGTCGTGTTCTCTTGTAAAAAATATATAAATAGAACATCATTAGAGCCACACTGCTCATTTAGCCAAAATAAACGCAGGCTTAGTGACTCGAAGGTAAGGATTTCCAGGGCGCTCCCGATGGGCTAGTCCGGGGGTTCAGCAAAGGCAGTGCACAGGCAGCATGGACCAGCCCCGGCTGTTGTCTTGGGAGGTAATGAGCATCCCCAGAAGGAGGAACCCCAGCCTTGGGGAACAGAGTCTTGGCTGAGGCACTCAGAGCCCGGAGCAGGAGCAGTGCTGCAAGCAGACAGTGCGATTAGGAGGAACTCCCGGTTGGTAGCCAGATGGACCAGGGCCGGGGAGTCTGCTCTGGGCCGAGGCCCCTCTGACCTCAACACACACAGCTCTGTATTTTGACTCAGGCACAGCCTTCCACTGGGGAGAGGAAAGAGGACCGTTTGCACTGTCCGACCCGTGTCCGGCAGACCGTGCCTCTCCTGGTCAGGGTAGCGCAACCCTCTCTTGGTGAGGGCCTGGGGGCCTTTGGATTAAATCAGCCTTTTCACTCAAAGAGGGAAACAGAGAAATCAGGTTTGGGCAGGCAGGATATGCAAAGTTGATGGTGAAACACTGTTAATAACAGGCGTTTGCGTTGTTTGTGTGCTTTTTGAATCAGGGTTGTTTTTCTTTCCCATTATAAATTAACCATGAGACAGCGCCAGTCTCATTCTTTAGGAGAGACCAGTGTATCCTAGGTACATCTTTAAGGAAATGCAATCAAAGTGGCCTCTGGACTGGGGCAGACGAGGCGTTCGTGGTCTCTCATGTTTTGAAGCACCTTTCACGTTCTGCCTCTTACTCATTTCTTGCCATGAAACGTCTTGTTTTCAAATCGCCTTGTGTCTTCTGCTTACTGTGGCTACTGTGATTGTGTACCAGGATGTGAGTCAGTAATGGAGAGAAACATGCCGTGGAGAAAAAGAGCGGTGTAGAGAAAGGACGGGAGGAGAGAATGAAGAAGCTGGGTTGTCATGTGACTTTTAAAGAGACTTTGTCGTTGTTTTTGTTATGAGTCACATTTTAAACAATGTAGCCTGGTGTGCGTTTTCTTCTTTTCTTTCTTTCTTTCTCTCTCTCTTTTTTCAAAACACTGGCTATAAACATAGTGCCATCACATATCTTTTTCTAGAATTTGAGCTTTAACAATGAAAAACTGTGTGTAAAGGGGAAAAAAAAGAACTAAAAAGTGGCGTAATTAAGGTGATGGATTATTTCCTCTTAACCAATAATTTCTTTTTTTAATAAAAGAAAAAAGAAGCCAGTAAAAATATATAAACCCCATACCCAGAGCTCTCTAGTTGTTGACCCCATGGTACTTTTAGCAGCTCACAGTGGAGGCAGGAGTTCTCACTCGTGGCAGAGACAGAGAGCTTGAAGAAAGCAGGAGCAGAGAGACTGGGTCTGGAACCCTACCCATTAGACACCCGTGGAAATCCCAGGCTAGTGCACTTGCAGGAGGTGGTTGTTAGGGTGAAGGATTCAGACCTGCTGTGTCTACCAGTGACGGAGGACCGAAGGAACATCAGTGTCGCCTGCTAAGGCTGTGAGCTGAGGTTACTGTCTCAGACCAGCTCTGAGCGCCATGGGGCCTGTCTCTTGGGTTTCGCTTTCTGCAGTCCTGAGCAGGTTTCATCCAGGTGAAACCAGGAGAAACTGAGCATCAAAGACTGTCTCATGGGCACAGAGGGGAGCAGTCTTAAGAGAGACCCATGTTGGGGTGGGGACAGCGCTGGCTGGGGTTTGACTCTGTGTGTCAGGTTTTAAGTTCTGTCTTTTTGGAGCCAACTGGCCCATCTCTGCCGCTTGCCACTGTCATCTCTCCTTTTCCATCTCCACCCTCATCCCCCATTGGCTGCCTCCCAGAAGCTTTGCCCACCAGGCACAGGACCTGGGTTGGCCACAAATTCTCTCTCTCCTTGGCTTTCCTTTCTCCTCCGGCTCTCTCAACTAGAAGCACTTCCCAGACGCAGTGAGGGTTAACCAGGGTTCTTGCCCATAATCCTCTGTTGAGGGGAAGAAAAAGACCCTGGACCTGCCAGGGCTGCAGGCTGGCCTTAGGGTGCGCCTGCTCTCTGCCCTGCACCTCCAGCTGCAGGTCCACGCTCAGTGATGCTGAGCAAGGGAGTGTGGAGATTGTGCAAACTGGGTACCCACTTGGCTGCCGTTGCCTGCCTACGGGGACACTGAGGCATGCTTTGTGAGGTTCGTGGATGCCCGAGGCCTCTCCTGGCTGAGGCCTGATGCAGCCTCTCCCACAAGGTCACTGACCACGCGTCAGTCTCTCTAAGGGGAGAAGAACACTTTTCTCACCAACTTTCCTCACGCTAAAACAGAAAGGACACGCCTCAGTTTAAAGAAAATAGCCTAAGTGCCACCAAAGAGAGGAGAAGTGGCCGAGACCTCAGCCAGCCTCGGTCTGAGTGGGAGGCCTTGGGGGGTGCTGGCGAGACCGCAGGACCCTGGATCTGCTGGGAGAGGCCTTCTCAGGGATCTTGTGCTTTCACATTCCTCCTCCAAACATGTCCGTGGGCGAGACCACATTCTTCTACGATCTTCTGTAAACCTCTCGAGAGGAGCCAACCTTTTTCTTTGTTTAATCTCACAAATTAAATAAACCTTTTATCTGAAATGCCCCTTCACCGCACTTCATTTTCAACCTGTGCAGAAAGGACTCTGCAGACAGACCAGTCCTCACACGGTCCTTATCTGCAATGAGCCTTTTTTCTTCTGTGAGAAATGACTCACAATTGTCATTTCAAAACGTGGGTACCTCCTGAGGGCCCGTTTGTAAACGTAGCTGTGGGAAATGCTGTCTCTTTTGGTCACTCAGTGAGAACCTGACTCGACTGAGACCAGCTTCAGACAGGTTCAGACAGAAGGGGTGCGCAGGGGGAGAGGGCTGCCTCCAGTTCCCGCTTGGTTAGAAGGGAGGTCTGCACGCTTTTCTGGTAAAAGGCCAGATAGCAAGTGTGTTGGGCTTCCTGAGACTGTGTCACAAGCACTCAACTCTGTCTTCGTAGCACAAAATCAGCCGTAGGCAATATGTAATGAGGGTGCCTGTGTTCCAAAATGTCTGAGAGTCGGCACTCAGCCAGAGTTGGTCATCTGAGCCCTGGGTTCCAGCACAGGCTGAAGGTTCGGTCCCCGCGCCCCCGGTCCTGACCCTGCCACTTACCAACATGTGAACTTCCTCTGAGGACTCTGAGCCACCTCCAGGATTTCACTGTCTGCTGCTCTGCCCTCCTCGGTTGTCCTCCAGGTCAAACCAGAGACAATCACTTGTCCTGTCGGTTCTCAGGTCTCCCAGCTGAGGGTCATGAGCAATAAACAAGATGCTCGTGTGACGCCCGTAGCCCGTGCCCAGCTCACAGGGAACGTCCACTCGTTGCTGTTGCTGTTATGGCCACAGTTCCCAGTAGCCTATTAATTCAGAACCCTGTTTGCACAATAGGAATGAAAGGAACGCTACCTACTGTGCAATTTTTTTCCTTATTTTCTTCCCATGCGTGGCTTCTTAGAATTTATTGTTTCTCAAAATTCAGATTCTTTGCATTCACATTGCCTGCTTCTCTAGGGGACTCAAAACTTTTACAGAGAGGAGGCTGCTCAACCTTGCAAATACACTTGGAGTTATTGACTATTTAAATGCCTGTTTCTCATTATCTCACACAATGAGAAAACTTTGTGGAGAATTAGAGGGTGGAAATTAGTGAAAAATAGTTCAGGAGTTGAAAGTGTTTTCCAATTGGAAAAAAAGAATATGTAAGTAAGTAGTGGAAGTTAGAATAACTAAAGGGAGCGTTCAGGTCGGCACATCACCGGCGCTGGACAAGGTTGAAGTCTCACCTGCATTTTCTCCCATCCTGGGGCACCTAGCCCAGGCTACTTGTTGCCAAGCAATGGCCCAGTCACCCCTATGGCTGAGGGGACAAGTGGGCTAAAATAAAGCCAATCACCAACTCAGGCACCTGGTGCAGGCAGCAACTGCCCAAAGATGGTGGCTATTTTGCAATTTCACATAGAGGCACCATATGAGCTAGCAGAATCTCTAGCACTTTTGAAGAAAAACTGTTATGTGAAGTACCAGTGGGTCATTAACATTTTCCAGGGAATCTGAATGTTGGTCTAAAATACCTTCCTCCATCCATCCATCCATCCATCCATCTATCCATCTATCCATCCATCCTTCTGTCCATTCATCCATCTATCCGTCCATCCATCCATCCTTCCATCCATCCATCCATCCATCTATCCATCCTTCCATCCATCCATCCAGACGTCCATCCATCCCTCCAAACATCCATCCATCCTTCCATCCATCCATCCATCTGATATTCATTGGATTGCAGCTGTTGTTTGGAAAGGTAATTTGGAAGAGGATTTAACCCTTGTTGACCTGTCAGCTTCCTTTTCTCTGACTGGCAAAGCACAGCCTCCTTAGCATACAGCCCTTGAAGGCTACCACAGAGCCCAACTCCAAACCAGCAATCCACCTGCCTGCAGGCGTCTCTTTAGCTGGAGAACATTCGGAGAAACTCTAGCCCCCAACTGCAGGTCACCCAAAAACTGCCCACGGAGAACGAGGGGAGGGCTGTTAGGTGTATCTTCTCTTTTCTAACTCTCTTTACATTATAAGTACAAACTCACGTAGTATTTTTTCCCATTTCTCCTAACAAATGTCCAAGGAAAACATTTAGGGAGGCAATATAATGTCCCCAAAATGGCTTTTGTCACTAAAATTTTCTACGTGTTGCTAATTTCAGGGGAGAGGAGCAGTGGTAGGAAAGGGGAAGAGCGCCTGATACCCAGACGGGGGTTTGTCTTCCAGAGCAGCAGCTCTGCGTCTGATTCTGCCTGTGTAATCCAGGGACTGAGACTTCTCCTTCCTCCAGTGGGTCCTCCCGTCCTCCCCACTGGGCCCCGAGTCTGTCTCTATTGTAAGAAGCACTTTAGGAGTAGCGTGAAGGCCCAGCTCCACGCTTGGGCCCTGCAGGTGTATTTAATGTTGAAAACCAGCATTTTGACAGGAAGAACACAAAGCTTTGAACTGAGACTATGCGGTGATGGAGGGGACGTGGGCAGTCATGACCTTCCAGGTTAACAAATTTGTGCTCCTGCCTTTGTGATCTGGGCAGGTGCTTCGGGTCGGGAATTAATCCCTGTGGATTCATGCCTTCTTTTCCCCTCGTGGGTGAGCTGCGGCCTCATTAGAGGACGGCCCTCACTGTGGAGCCAAACCGAAATCGGACAACCCAAGGACCCCCTTTGGGGAGGGGGTGGCACTGAGGAACTCAGGCCATTGCTGCACACTTTGTTGCTTCTCGTGCATTCTTCTGAGCCCACAGGAAGATCCTGGCAGGATGGTTGCCAGGCAGCAGAGACTCTTGGTGACCTGAATAATGAGTTGACACACCAGTTCACTGTGACTCACAAGCTGGCCATTTCAAGGAGCCGTTTTCTGTGCCTTGCTTTCTCTCTTTCTATCTCTCTGTTTCTGTGCATAATTTCAATCTGGTCACAGAGAGAGAAAAAGAGAGAGAGGGAGAGGGAGCTTTCTCAGCTCCACTAATGAAATTATTAAATGATAGAAATGGTTTGGGGATAGAGAAAAATAGAGTGGGAGGTCATGAATAGGAGAATGTAGAAAGGGGCAGTGGGGGTCATGGGACTCTGGGATCCTTTCCCCACCGCAAGAGCTGGCCATGTGGCTGCCAGGGTGTACACTGGGTGACACTTCCTTGTCAAAGCCCCTGCAATACTGGGGCACTCCTGCGGGCCCGAGAAGCACCGCTGAGCACTGTGCCTTCATGGAGGGGGGCCCTAATACTAGAGGAACCCGTGAATAAGAGTGGACAGGCTCTGAGAGATTTTCCAGGAAAAATGTTTTCATTTTTCGGCCACTTCTGAGGAGACATCAGAAGGGCTGGCCCACCCCTCAGCTCTTCTCCAAATCAAAAAGAGGAGTTCTGGTGTCAGGGCTGCAGGAGTTGGCCAACACTGACTCAGAAATAGCCGTCTTCACCTCAGCTCTGTCTTTTCATCACAAACATTTATGGAGCCCTCTTTGTGCATACCCTGAGGTAGAAACCAAGATGAGAGCAGGTTCTTCTGCTTGAGGAGCTCCGAGCCTCCTGGGGGAGCCGTGAAAACATAAGCGAGCCCTGTCTGCATCTTGGGCAGTGATGCACCCGCAGAGCAGACCGACAGTGCGTGAAGAAGGCATCGGCGCTTCCCCCGGGGTAGCCCGCGGTTAGAGGGGATACAGCTTTCTGGCCACCACCACTTGATGTAAGCAGCAAGGGAGGAATTTTTCACAGGTTAAGCATACATCATTTTTCAGAAGTAAAGATCATGTCTGGTTTTGGCAAGCTCAAAAGCTCCTAGTCCCATTCTGGGCCAGATTTTTATCTGATGTAAATCTTTGGGAGAATCAAGTTGTAGCACTGTTTTGCATCAAGTGGGACTCTCGCCAGTCTTTCCCCAGAGTTACCCTGGGCTTAAATCTGCTACATCATCTCCATGGCAACCTGAGGCCGGCCAGGGAATGTGCTTGCCTCCTAAATCCTCTGCTAGCTTCTCTTCCCTCCTCCGTCTTTTCTGTGATTAAGAATGATCTCCCCGTCTTTGCTCTCACTCTCGCTCTTACATACCCACTGTCATTCGGCGCCCACATTTTTTGTTGCAACGCCTTTCCAATCCGCTTATAAAATCCTCCATCCAATTAAAAAATGAAGATGCATTAGTCATTGCTCGACAGCGATAATTGACCTGTTTAGACAAGACCAGGCTGATTTCAATGGGCATGGAAGCCTTGGCAAGCCAAAGTGGAATTTACCTTCAAGTCTAGCCAGCCTAATTAATACATTGTTTGAGAATGCTGGCCAGCCAGACCCAATATTGTATTTCCACCCCTTTGGAGAATCAGCCTTACTGAATCCCAGAAGTCGTTTCAGCATCATTTACTTGTGTGTACTCGTGTGTGGATGTGTGTGAATTGTGAGGCTTCCATAGATTGCAGAGTAATTGTGGTTTAACAGGGAGAAGAAAAGAGCTTTGTAATCACACAGCCCTTGAGTCCCTTCCTTACTATCACTTGCTGTCTAACCACTGTGTTCCTTTAACTCTCTGAGCCTGTTTGCTCTTCTGTAAAATGGGTCTGACAGTGGCTCCCTCATAGGGTTGTGCGTAGTAGACAATATCAGTCATTTAAAAGTGCTCGACACCAACTAAATACTCAGTGCCATCCTGGGCCCACCCCTTCCCCATCCACTCCAAAGCATGTGTGTGTTTCTTCTTTTTTTCAGTTAATTTTTTTATTAGTCTGCATGCTCTCAGCCTAGCAACCCTCTCTGTGTCTCTCCACCAGGGGGCACGCTCCTGCCAGGGACCGAGCCCACAGTGGACACGGTGCCCGTGCAGCCCATCCCAGCCTACTGGTATTACCTAATGGCCGCCGGGGGCGCCGTGCTGGTGCTGGTCTCCATCGCGCTGGCCCTGGTGCTCCACTACCACCGCTTCCGCTATGCGGCCAAGAAGACCGATCACTCCATCACCTACAAAACCTCCCAGTACTCCAACGGGGCCCCTCTGGCGGTGGAGCCCACCCTAACCATTAAGCTAGAGCAAGAGCACAGCTCGCACTGCTGAGGCCGAAGCAAGGACCGCATCCAAACAGACGAGAAAGACTGCTACCCCGTGGCCTGATTTTGCACTTTTTCTCCTCGCCTAGTCTCTGTGTGAGCTCTCAGACACCTCCCTCTCGGGCCCAAACCCTGTGTGTTCTTGTCCATCCTGACCATTCTCCTTGGGTTCTTCTTTTGTTGATTCCAAGCCAACCAACCCAACTCTAATGCTGCATCTTGGGATATGAGAAAAGACAACCCTAAGCGCTTCATGACTCAAGGCCCAGCCGGTTTTCTTCCAGAGACTGGCCCCTGTCCCTTCCCCTTGCCTTACCCCATCCCCCCTCTCGGTGGGCAGTCTGCCGGAGCCCTGAGGGGGAACCTGGATCTGTGTGTTTGTACATAGAATACATTGTGCGTGTGAACAGCTCCGTGTGTGTGTGTGGGTGAGGGAGAGACTGGTTCATTGAGGGGGGCGTATGGGTGTGTTCAGAGAGGGCCCCCCTTAACTCTTGTGTTACTTCTCCAGGGGTACATTTTACAGAAAATAATATACTGTACTAGTTTTGTTTACCTGGAGAAGAGATTGAAGCTTTTGTTGCCTTATCTAGCTCTGGCTGGGTTTCTGTTGGCTACCATTGTCATCTCCAGGTACCTAAAAAACTAGAGGCCACATGAAATGAAATGTGGCCCTTCCCACCCTATTCCCATTCCCAACCCACCTGCCCAGGAGGAAGGTTCCCCCAGTGCACTCGGACGTGACCTGTTGTCGTGTCTCCTGGCGTCTTGGAAGTAACAAGACAGCAGCCATTGCGTGCATGCGAACCGCCTCTACTTCCAGCCCTGAAGCAAATCTGTCTCATGTTGCCTTATAAACGAGAAGCTCATAATGAATGTTTAGCTTTTATTGGTTAAGTCCAACCTTGGAATAAGTCATAGAGAATAACAAACCTGAGACTGAGGTCGGCAAAGCAGTAGCCTGTTGAAGTTTAGAGCAGGAGGGGATAGAGGGGAAAAGGGAGGAGAAGAAAAGACTGAAATGTTGTCTTTTAAAAGTCTCCTCACTCCGATGGATTCATTGTGCCCAACTTGGGATGGAGTCGAGGACAAAGGTTAAAAACCGTCTTCTTGGTATTCCATTGGTCATTGTGACAGCATTTGTAAAATACGGGGGAAAGGGATTGTTTGCTTTCCTCTCATGGTGTCAATGTGTGCCTGAATCTATAGCCGCTAAAACATAAGGCTGTCCACCTGACTGACTTAAACATTACGAGAGAATAAAAGTCATCATTTTTTTAATGTACCAATGTGCTACCCCTTAAAGCATCCATAGCATCTGGCCAATGCACTCCCATAGGCTGGCCTGGCATCTCCAGATGTCGCTGCCTCATCAGGAGAAGCTATAAGGGAGATAAATCCATTGCTGCCCATTTGTCCTTCTAAGCAACACAGGGAGGGGGATGTTAGAGATAAATTGCCTAATGATATTGTACAAAGGATGGATTCAATAATGAAGTCAATTGCATTGATAGAAGATGCGTATTTTAACGAGATTCCTGGTGTGCTGGGGCTCAGCCTTGGGGTATTTATTTCTCACCTTCCTGCTAGCCATCCACTGGGGATGAGTAACATTCTCTCCAAAGATGGTTGCCTGGGCTCAAAGCCTCCAGGTACCTTCTGAGAACAAAATACTGATGATTTTTTTTTTTTTGGCTGCTTAGGAGAGAGAGACTTTAGCATTCTTTCAGAATATCCACACAGGTCCCTCCAACACACACACTCACTTTCACATCTGGTTTGTTTCATCCTCCTGAAAGCATAGTGCTCCCCCACTCTTATTCTATTTCAAAGAGCAATTCTGTCTCAACCACGGCAGCGCTGCCAAGAAAGCAAAGATGAAAGGATAGAGTGAGAGCTACCTTGAGATTCCAAGATGTGTCCTACCCCAGCTGAAGATAGAGAAAGAAGTGGGGTGGGGAGCCCAGGACACCAGGTGATGAACTCCATGCTGGTCACTAAGGCTATTTCATCTTAGGTGTCCACATCCAGTCGTGGGGCCAGGCATTCCCTCAAAATGATTGGCATCCCTGTAGGCACCCCATGGAGGTGTGGTGTCGGGACATTACGCTGGAAAATCCAGCCAGTGTAGCAACTGTCTGAGTTACCATGTACCCTAGAGGATTTCCCTGCTTTAAAAGAAGATGACAACAACTTTGTGAATTTGCTCTATCTGTATCTGATGCCCCGTGTGGCATCACCTTTAGGTATGTGCCATAGTTGAGACTAGGAGACTGCTCAAATCTGTGTGACGCCCATGATGCACTCCAGCTGGGGAATGTCACACTTCCCACCCTCTCTCTCTCTCCCTCTCTTCTCTTTCTGTCTCTCTGTCTCTCTCTCTCTCTCTGGGGCCCCAGCAACTTTCATAGTATCATCCAGGTACTATGCTAAAAGGGCAGCTCTTCTGCAAAATCATGCCTTGCAGCTTTAAAAAGCAAAATTCTGTATTTCATAGAGGGAGAGAAAGGTCACTCTCTTCTAGGAAAAGAGACTGGCCGGGCGAATGCATGCATGCATGTGTCTAGAGTTGCTTCTCAGAAGACAAGGAGGTGATAGCAACTACTAAAATGTAAATGAATGAATGAATGAATTGAAGGTCTAGCTTGACTGGTAAAGTTCTTGCCTTAGTAGAGGTTTCATGTCAGCAGCTCCAGGAGGAAAACCCTCATCTCTAGGGTGAAAAATCCCCTCCTGATATGATGCCAGCAATCACTCTCCCCTAATTGCTGGTGACGGCAGGAAACAAAATCGTAGCCTTGCCATTGACAAACCAGGATGCTGAAAATAAAGTGAAATTGTCTTTTCCCTTATCCCACACTTTTGGGATTAAAGCCAGAATAGGATAGGAAATTCAGTAATATTTCTGAGGTTGATACCTCATCTTTTAAAAGGCCCTGTCTTTCAAAGGAAACTGGCAGGCAAGCAAACACCTAAATAACCGAAAATTACCAAAGAACAACAGCAAAACAAGAAAACTTAAAGATTTTTACTTCCTATTCTTCTCCCTTCTCCCTATAACCGCGACGTCCCCTGCATTGCTCAGTTGCCTGTGTGTCAAAATAACTTGTGGACGTTGGAAACTATTTGAAAATGTATTGTGTGGAATGTAATAAAATGATGATATTTTTATACAAACATCTGGGTTTTTTTTCCTTTGCCTATGAGAACAAAGTTGAAATGGAGGCTTTGAACAAATTGACGTTTCCCAAGTTTACACTTCGCCTTCTGAGCTCCAGGGCGCTTCGGTGGGTGGTAGCTGGGTTCTCTTCTTGAGGCTGGATGCCAGCTTTTCCTTCCTTTATTTTTATTGCTGCTTGTTAGGAGTTTTATCCAATTTGTGCAGCTGAGCCAACTTTTATGATTGGTGTGGGATTTTGCAGAAGTTGCTAAGTGCTAAATTGCTCAATGTGATTCCACAAAATTTCTCTTGATGGCAAATCTCTGGAGGTTGGACTCTACTTTCAAAGGGCCCCAGGGGGAGTGGGACCAGTGAAGTTGAAGCGTGTACTCGGCTCTATGGAGACAGATGGCTTCCTTTGGAGAAGAAGTGGTGACATCTTACCCCTTGCCTACCAAATTATTACTTCCACGGGGACGTTGATCTCCAATTTATGAGCACTTTCCCAGACGAAACGGGAACTTGTAGCATGTTCAGGACTCAAAGACACTCTAGACTTCATTTTGGAGAAAGTAATGAAGATAATTATATGATTACCGTGAACCTGGAACTATCAGGGTGGAACATTTTGTGAAAGCAACATTCTATAAAAACTTGGAGGAGAGGGGCTCGGGGAAACTTATCCAAAAAGACAGATCTTGTTTGACAAGTATTTTTCCTTGGTTCTCCTCTTTGGGTAGTTGGTGGTTAGTTATATAAAATATTTCCATCAGACTTCTATCAGATTAGGGGAAAAGATCGAGGAGATATGAACTCCCAGCTGCTCAGTGTTTCTAGATGGCGGTCCAGAAGAGATTGTGGCAGGATTTCCCACTGTTGCCCCTAACGGAGTGTATTGGCAGCATTCCATCAACCCAGCAGCCTTCCTCAGGGGTCCCAGAACCAGCCTTAAAGGTTCTAAGAAAAGAGGCGTGTCCAGGAGACCCTGTTTCTGCAGAGTCCCACATTTCTTCCTCTCCAGACCTCCATCTAGGAAGGAGCGGTTTTTACAGCCACAACCTGTCCAAATGTGCTGAAAAGAAACGGGATTCTGGTCTTCATGTCTTACAGGAAGCTCAGTTAGTCCAGACGGCTCAGCATAGACGCCACTGTCTGTCCCCTGCGGGAGAATGGAGTAGAATGTCCATGATTAGAACCTTGTTTGTTGCTCTAATGATGAGCATAATTACTCATTTTGTCTAAATAACATTTGCCTTTCCTTAAAACATTTATTCCTATTAGTAAAGGATGAAATGGAAGCATCTCGAAAGTACTTATTTCAAGCAGAGATCTAGGCTCAGTCAACATTTTCCTGACTGGGACCAAATTTGCCAGACTGAATTAAATTAGCCGTTGCTCATGCTTCCTTGATGTGGCTGGATTTGGAGACACCTTTGAGAATTTCAGCAATCCTACCTGCCTTGGGTCTAGTCCCCAGGCTTATTCTGGAAGTACTCTCTCTTCCCTAAAAGGGCAAACACGGTTAGGTCTCTAATCTTAGGCATCAAACACAGCACTTGCTATCAGTGTGGTATTTCAGACCTAGCCAAGCATAAATGTTACAGAAATTGTGCTTCCATGGACCATAAATACCAGATGTCGAGGCCCATTGTGGTCTCTTTTGGCTCCTACCTGGCCCTTTATGATGGTTTAAACATGCGTTCTTGCTGTTAAAGCAAGAAGCTGCCCTCCTAGCCCTGTAACGGACACCCGGCCCATCTGCGTGGGCTGTGTCTGTGCTCTCCATCTCTCTCCACTGGCTCTGCGGTTGTTGGCACAAACGTTGTGGCCTTTCTCTAATCTTTGATGAAAAGAGCTTCATGTTTAAGTTTTGATTTGTCTGTGTTGTGGCCACACATCTGAGCCAAACTGCCGATCTGTAGGTGTGGCTCATTTTCGCTCTAATTGTGCGCATCGCTGGGGCTCTCACAGCTGCAATTGGCCTTTCATCCTCTTCAATGATGGCCCAAAGAAAACACAAAACAAATCCAACCAGAGAAAAAGGAGGAGAGAGGGGAACACAGCTGAAGGTCTTAAATCAGCAGGGAAAAGAGTCGCCTTATGTAAATAAATTAAAAGCTAGGCCTAGGGTAGGATTTAATTAAGCCTGATATAGATCAGGTGCACTGGAGTGTGTCTAGAGGTTAGTCACAACCAGAAACCCACTCCCTCAGAAGACAGCAGGCCACAGCCTCCACCTCAGTACTTTTGCACGAGCTGTGAGGAGGATCCCGTTTGGCCCCAAACCTAAGCACTGAAGAGATATGAGATTTGGGGAATCGCCAAAGATCAAAACTCCCTTCAGCATGGTATGGCACAATGGAGCGCCAAGGTGCTTCCGGGCAGCCAGCAGGAGCCACACTTGCCCCAAGCCCAGGGGGCAGGACACCCTGAATCTTTCTCCTCTCTTTTGGGTAGAGTCGGTGTTCTTGGGCTTTGCTGTCACTGACCTCCAAGAGCCAAAAAAAGACCCTAAAGTCCCTAGGCATTGGACCAAAAAGTAGGAATGGTCATTTGAAGAGTCAGCGACAGACATGCTGGTGGCAGGACTTGGCGCTGAGTGGGGAAACGCCTTTTCTTGGAGGCTCCTGACCAGAGCGTTGACTGATCCTGAAGGGGACTGTGGGGGGAAACTTCAGGATAGTAACAGGCTTGATTTCTCTTCTTTTCTTTTTTAAACTTACAAGTTTACACAGCTTAGATTTACAACTTATACATGACTACATCCTCAAAAAGCGCAAATAATACAGAAAAAGCAGAAATCCATTTCTTTGTCAGTCAGTCTCAGTCTTCTCCCCAGAGGTGACCAGCAGAGGTGGTTTGCTGTATACGTTTGCAGGCCTTGTTTTATACCTCGGCAAACACAGATCTTCACGTCCCCTCATGTCGTTGGCTTGGTTGGGGTTTGGTTTGGTTCTGTGCAAATGGTGTCACCATGTGTGTTTCTTCCCTTTATTGGACAACTTGCTTCTTTTCATTTGACGAAGTCTTGAGGCTACTTCGGTACACCCCGACAGATTGACCCCACCCTTCTTAGCTGTTGTACAGCCTTCCACGTTGTGTTGATGGACCATAGTTTATTAACTGCTCCCCTACTGTGGGCACTCAGGTTGTGTGTAGTTGTTATGCTGTTATAAACAATACTGCAGTGAACATCCTTCAAGTTGGCTCTTTGTACACATTTCGATAGGATAGGATATCTAGGTCAGATGGCATGCCTGTTTTCACTTCAATAGTTGCTTCAAATGGCTGATGTTTATCCTTTTCAGGGAACCATCCTCATTTGAGAGAGTAACAAATGGGTGGACGTCCTGGGTTATACCCCTGCCGTATTTGCACAAGCCACACCATCTCTGCGACTACCCCCTCTCTCTAAGGCAGGAGGAGCGCTTGCAAAAGGAGACTCCGGGTAGTTTCAGCTGAAGGGAATTTTAATCACAGGGACTTGTTTTAACCACCAATTTGTGGAGAATGTGGGCCCAGCTGTAAGTGGCAGCACCCCGACGCTCAGGCAGCAGTGGCACGGGAGCAAATTCCCTCCTGGCTCAGCAGCAACCCTGGTCTCCGCGATTAATGAGTTGCACTTGGTTTCTTCCAAGAATGACTGTGCTGTGCCTTGCTGTTATTTATTTATGTTTTCTACTAAAAAATTCATGTAAAAAACATCCTTTAAGGTCAGTGCACCGCATTGTGCTGCAGACAGAAATGAAATTCCAGCAGCCACAAGTAGGCCTACGTGCCAGCAGAGAGTCTCCGGTCCCTGGGGCCTTGAGACCAAGGCCCCATACTCATCCTGCGAGGAGTCGGCCTTCTTGGCTGCAAGGAGGTGTCCAGCCTCCTTCTGAGGAGGTTTAGGGCTGACGGGACTGAGGAGGGGCACCAGGCGGCAAGGCCCTTTTCTAGGGAGAGGCTTCTCTGTGCCAGCAAAGCTGCAGGTTCCAGATGGCTCCAGCCAGGAGCGGCAGGTAGAGCCGGAGAAGAGGGACCTGTTCGTGGGAAACACCATCTCCCCCCAGAACGCTGCCTGAGTCCTGCTGTGCACTGAGACACAGGGCTGGTGGGGACGCGACTTGCACTCGAGCATCATGGGCAGTGTCAACAGCCAAATAGGGCTTTATGGGTGTCTTCTGGCCTGCCGGAAGTCCAGGACTGCTCACTCTTGGCCATGGGGCTTGGGTGGATAACTGGAGGGCTCAGGGAAGATAGCAGCATGAGCGCGAGGTGTGGGTGAGTGGGAGACAGGTAACTACACACACACACACATGCACGCCCAAGCCGTGTTTCATCTTCTACTGTGCAAAATTCAACCCTTTTGATGTCAGTAACTACCATGTCCCAAAGCAGAGGCTCTGACCCAGAACCAGAGCCAGCGTACACTGGGTCTCGCCTTTCAGGGTAGTGATCTCTTCCCCAGGCGCAGGACTCGTTAACAGGATGTCTGGACCAGAGTTCTCTGTGACTTGTTAGCGAGCAGCCAGCTCCAGTAACGATGGGAGTGCACGTGGAGAAAGCTTTGAGCTGGAGGCGGCCTTGACAAAGCCCGTTCTCAGCCACCTGCTGGTTCCCGAGGCTGCGTTTCAGCACAGTCTGCTAAAGAAACTCCTCGTCCCTTTGTGTTTCCTTACTGCCGCCAAGGGGCTGGGAGAAGGGGCCTAAGGACCTCGGGGCCCCGTGGGCTTCTCGTTACTTCTCTAGGGCAGTTCCGACAGCTGGGATTGAGGTAGGAAGAAAGGCATTAGGACCCAGGTGGGGGCTGACATGGGTTGTCAAAGGAGCCCCCAGGCTGCTCATCCTCCTCGGCCAACCAGCCAACTGCAGACCAAGAGAGTGAGTCACCATAGCGCGCCCACGATGCCAACATCGCCCGGCTCTACAGCTCATGAGAGGGCCGCCATCCCCTCTTTCCCCAAGAAGGATCTGTCTCCACCCTCTGCTCTGTGCAGGTGTTGCTCGTCTTCAACCTCCAACCTCCCCTCTG